GAAAACGTCCAATTCACCTCGCGAAAGTCGAAGTTCAGTCCAGTGCGTGGAGGGCGTGAAAGTGTTGTTAAACAGCTGTGGAAATCCACTTCCTCACAATTATAATAAATGTGAGATCGCTGGATCGTTTCACGCATAGGTTAACAAATATGAATGAGTGTGAGTGGATATAAACAAAAATATTTAGTGTGGGCCAATTGGCCTTCTGCCATTTCGCTGGCCCTTATGTTCTCTTGTCTGCCTCTATAAACAATTATTTATATGGAATCTGATTAAACTTCAGAGTATCTTGAACCCCAGTCCAATATTAGGTTATTAAACTCGTGACTGATGTTGGCTATATCATGTATTAAACACTTCCAATAATTGACTAATCCATTTTAATATTGTTCCTTAAAAAGTAACTACAACAATGTTGTTTTACAGAGTACTGTTGCGGGATGGAGACTGCCAAAATGAACTTGCTCGAACACTGCTCAATGGCGAGAGAGGCGGATGGACTCACAATCTATGAGATAAAACCTAAATGTGTTCAAGAGGACCAAGAGAAGAAGATACAGGTAATGTCAATTGGACCTGGCAACAAGGGACCCAGCAAGTCTGTTCTTCTGCTGGGACAGACAGGCGCTGGCAAGACCAGAGTCGTCGACGCCATGATCAACCATCTCTTTGGTGTCAAATTTACTGATAATTTTAGGTTCCAGTTGAAAGATCAAGTTGAAAATAATGATCTCCTACAAGTAGAGAGTCAGACGGAGTATATCACTGCCTATATTGTCTACTATCAAGCAGGAATGGCTCTGAATTGTAATTATATATTGATAGATACTCCTGGGTTTTGTGACACTAGAGAAGGCTACGGTAACGTCCTCATACAGAGGCTGACTAACTTCCTGACAAGTAATTATGGTATAGATGAGCTTAACTGTGTCGCTTTAGTAGCTCAAGCAACTAAAAATAGGATAGTGAAAGACCAGATAGACATGTTAGACGAGTTTACCTCTGCTTTGGGAAATAATATTGGTGACATAACACAGGTTTTGGCTACATTTGCGTCAGATAAATCTTCGACAGTTGTTGATGTGGTGAAATGTGTTGGAGTTAAATTTGTTAACGCTTACCATCTTGATAATGGGATTCTGTTTGTTTCACCAAATGTTGATGCCTCCCAGACGGACGAACTTATTTATTTTAAACATAGATGGAAAATGATGCAAGAAGAGTATGCTAAGTTTTTCGAAGAGTTGCAGCCATCCACTCCGGTAAACCTCAAGCAAACACGAGACCTTTTACTGGAACATAAACTTCTCGAGGAAACCAAAAACAGGCTGAGAGGCAATGCTACAGACACGGCCGAGGTGAAGAAAATGAAAAAGACTCTGACGAAAGAACTAAAGAAGATTTCAGATGAACAAGACACATTCATACGAACCAAAACTGATAGGAAGATGAGAATCAAGAAGGAATACATAATTGCAGGATATCATGCACATAATTGCCAAGAGTGTATGCAGACTTGCGAAGATTATTGTGAAGACCCATCTAATGCGCCTGCTTTTGGGATGGGGATTTCTTATGGGTTGGTCACCGGAATGTTTACAGGGGCAGAGTTAGGAGTCTTTGGGGGTCCCTTTGGAGCAGCAGTTGGTGCAGTCGCTGGTCTATTGACCGGAGCTTCTGTTGCAATGTTGTCTAAAAGAACATTCAAAGATTGCAAACTTAAACTTGGCATGAAGGACGTCTGCGGGAAATGCCATCACAGTAAAGACGAGCATAGGATAGTACGATACCGATATGTTCCAACAATGCCGGAAGACCTTCTTGAATATTGCGACAAAGAAAAGTGCCATAATTTTAAAATACAAACACAAAAGTTCGAAGCGGATATTAAGAAGTACATGAGGGATTTACAAGACCTTGAACAAAAGATGAATCTTGAAGCCAAAGCTTTAGTGGAACACACACACAAAATAAATAAGTTGAGTATAAACGACAAGCCCTTGTCTCCAGAGTCAATTATAAGTGATATGATCATGGAGGAGCGGGAGAACACCCTCATAGTGGAGTGTCTGCAAAATATAAGGACTGTAGTAACGAACATGTCATCAGTGTGTCGGGCAGTAATGTATTAGTTAATGGCCATAAACACTAGACACTGCTGGTAGCCTAAGAAATATAACTAATAAATAAATATATTTTTATTTAGGTAAAAGTACATACATACAGAGTTACAAACAGAATGTTGGATTTCTAGATAGAGCTCGTATATACTATGCCTAAAGCCACTAATACGTACAGCGTTAAGGTGTGGGGAAAAAATATATAAAAATTAAGACTTAAGACTAATTGAGATCAAAAACATTCATTGAACTGAAGTAGAAGAAAAAATGACAATAATTACATGTTGAATTAACAACAGAAATTGCAACAGAGGAACAGAATGTAATTTTGAGTAAATAAACAGACGGATTACAATTGCCTTAAGTTTATTAATAGAAGATATTAGCAGTGTTACAAGTTAGTAATTAATCATTAATATTTGATAATAGCAAGATATAGGCTGCCATTTAGGATGTAAGGTAGGCTACATGGAGTTGATTGGGTAGTAATTAGTTTTTCTCTTAAACTGGTGAGAGATGGGCAGTTTGACGTGACTGGGAAGGTCATTCCACATTCTGGGTCCCTTGATTTGTAGAGCATTTCTAGTTTGGTTAAGTCGCACTCTTGGAATATCAAATAGATATTTGTTTCTAGTGTGGTGCCCATGGGTTCTGTTACCACCTTATAGGAAGCGTTTAAGGTCAGGATAGGCATTACTGTTCAGAGTTTATATGTATAGAGTACACATGAGAGGATGTGTAGTGACTTAATATCTAACATATTCAAAGATTTAAGTAAAGGGGTCGAGTGATGTCTGGGGCCAGAGTTAGACATTGTTCTAATAGCAGCTTTGTGTTGGGTAATTAGAGGACGTAGATGATTTTGGGTAGTAGAACCCCAAGCACAAATACCATAGTTGAGATATGGATAGATGAGAGAGTAATAGAGCGTCACCAGGGCAGGACGGGGTACATAATATCTGATCTTAGAAAAAATCCCAACTGATTTTTTAACTTTTTTAGTTATATTTTGGATATGGCCTTGGAAATTACGCTTATTATTAATGAGAACGCAACGGAATTTACCGTCTACTTCGTTACTAATTTGGAACTTGTTAATTCTTAGATTAATTTGATCAGAGGATTTATTACCAAACAAAATATAAAAGGTTTTTGTCAATGTTAAGGGTGAGTTTGTTAGCAGTTAGCCAAAGATGGACTTTATTTAGTTCAGAATTCACTGTGTCATTCAGAATAAGAGAATTAGGACTGGAGAAAATGAAAGTTGTGTCAACAGCAAATAAAATTGGCTTGAGGTATTGAGAGGCATGTGGAAGGTCATTAATGTAGATGAGAAAGAGGAGAGGGCCAAGTATGCTGCCGTGTGGAACACCAATGTTGATGGGTCGGGTGGGAGAAATGGAATTATTCACAGAAACATACTGGAGCCTGTCAGTAAGGTAAGATTTAAGGTATTGCAGGGAGTGTCCTCTGACTCCATAATGATGTAATTTAAGAAGGTTATTGTGGCTGACAGTGTCAAAAGCCTTACGCAGGTCAACAAATAACCCAACAGGGAACTCATTTTTATCAAGAGCTGCATGTATCAAGTTAATCATATTAATAAGTGCATCATTTGTGCTTTTTTGGGTCTGAAGCCATATTGGCAAGAGCTAAGTATATTGTGTTTAGCTAGATAAGAGTAAAGTTGTCTGTAGGTTAACTTTCCAAATATTTTAGGCAAGGTTGGCAGTATTTATATTTATCTGTAATTGTTGACATCAGTGAGATCACCACTTTTATGGACTGGGGATACACTCACTTTTTAAGAATATCAGAAAATGTTTGGAGTTCAAGTGATTTGTTAAAGAGCTGTGCAATGGAAGGAGCTAAAAATCTAGAGACTTTTTGTAAATTAGAGTTGGTACCTCAGCAAGAGCACTGGGCTTTGTTTTAAGAGAAAGGACTATATCATTAACATCAGAGGAATTAGTGGGAGTTAGGTACAGAGACTGGATTTTTTCCTGCATGGTAATCCTTAACATTAGTTAGAGAGGATGGGATATAATTTGCAAGGGATGTGCCAATGGATGAGAAGAAAGTGTTGAATTTAATGGTAGTGTCAAAGGCAGATATCACACCATCGTCATTGGCTACGAGTGTTGGTTTATTATTCAAGATCTTCTTTAATCCCAATATTTGGGAAATAGTGCTCCACGTTTTCTTCGTGATGCCCTTAAATGGTTTGAATTTAATTTCATATTAGTTTATTTTGGCTCTCCGACTTATTTTGGACTGCATTGGCGAGTACCTGCACGAGGCTTCTTTAGAGATGACTCCTAGCCTATACTTCTTCTCATAATCATATTTTTTGTTGATAGATTTAAGTATAGACTTAGAAAGTCATGGGTTGTTTAACCTTTCAGTTGTGACTTTTTAGTTAGCATTAAACAGCGGGTATTATAGTGGCTCAGAGTTTTGTGAAGAAATGATTGCACCGCTTGGTTAATGTTGTAACGTTTCTATTGTTACGTAAAGTATGGTGATGTGAGGTGTTGCCCGAGCAACGCCTCACCTCATTCATCTCCAAAGGTTGACAGGAATATTAACAATGCATTTGGAGCGAGTATATTATTGGGATAATCTACTCGCTACAATGTTTACTATATTACCGTATTCAGCCTCCCAGTTGATATTACCAGCAGTAGCAGCAATACAACTGCTTATAGAAGTTTCATTGTGCAGCCTAAAGCTTATATTCATTGCCTCTAATGAAGGTTTATTAATGTTTGTTAGAAAAAAATGTGGGGTAATGGTCTGTGATCCCAACACTGATTATCCGTAAAGTGGAGAGGTTATGTTTGTCCAGCTGTGGTCAAGAATCCTCATCAGCAGAGTGGTAGTTACTTATACCGCAAATTTACCAAATCTTTCCGATAATGTGTGCAGGCTGATGCTGGTAAATAGTTGTTAATGACACATGGGAGAGTTGAGAGTTCTTTATATATTGTAAAGCAGTGTCATGGCTGGCGCTAAAACTTATTTTATTAAATAAGTATTGAATTTTTGGTTGTTTACCTACTTTAGATCTAAGTGAGATAATTGGGTATAAGTTTGGATGGATATAAATTCTATAGGAGTTATATAATCTACAGCTCCGTATAGCCAGGAGCAGCCTCGCATGGGCTCACATACCTTCTGCAGGAGTCCTATATGTCTGTGTCCTTCGTCCTTGTGATTATGTAAGGCCTGCCTGACGGACGTGTTGGGGACCCATGCCTACAAGACCCTCATTTGCGTTGAACTGTGATGCTCTCATCTTATCTGCAAGAGTTGTTCCTGTTGAACACAGGCTTGGCTGATAACACGTTTCCACCAAGTTGGTTAACTGTTACAAGTTCTTGGATTCAAATAAATGGGAAAGTTTTCCGTATGGTTTGCAGTGCTGCACTTTATTAAATTTATATTCATAGTGGCTTAATTTGACTAAATATTTTATTAGCGTTAGTGCTTGTATGTTCCTATGGAAACAAAGTTTGTGTATTCTTTTCCATTTTTGTATTGGCTTACCTGACTGACCGCTTTCATTACAGTAATAATACTCTGTATTCCTTTGCATCTGTAATTAAAATAAAAATGGTAATTCCTATATGCATTTATATTGTAAGTGTAATAGTAATACTTTTATTTATCCTACTTGTGTGTAAAGTCAGTGGGTGTAGCAATCAATTTTGACAGTGTAATAGCCTAATATTATCACAGCAAGTGGTGGTACCTTCAACAAGCCGCCGGCTTCCTGTCTTCGTCGAGGCCACTTGTGTTAGTGGCTTTCGGGTAAATTCAGGTAATTATCATTTTAAAATTATACCAATAATTTCCTGGATATTTTAATGGATTATTAAGTTAATTCTCATTTGTTAATTATTACTATGTGATTTTTTTTTAATTTAATTTATGCATCCCATACCTATCCTGTGGGTGGTAGTGGTGGACCCCCATCCCTATCCTGTGGGTGGTAGTGGTGGACCCCCATCCCTATCCTGTGGGTGGTAGTGGTGGACCCCCATACCTATCCTGTGGGTGGTAGTGGTGGACCCCCATCCCTATCCTGTGGGTGGTAGTGGTGGACCCCCATGCCCATCCTGTGGGTGGTAGTGGTGGACCCCCATACCTATCCTGTGGGTGGTGGTGGTGGACCCCCATACCTATCCTGTGGGTGGTGGTGGTGGACCCCCATCCCTATCCTGTGGGTGGTGGTGGTGGACCCCCATGCCTATCCTGTGGGTGGTAGTGGTGAACCCCCATGCCCATCCTGTGGGTGGTGGTGGTGGACCCCCATGCCCATCCTGTGGGTGGTAGTGGTGGACCCCCATACCTATCCTGTGGGTGGTAGTGGTGGACCCCCATACCTATCCTGTGGGTGGTAGTGGTGGACCCACATGCCCATCCTGTGGGTGGTAGTGGTGGACCCCCATACCTATCCTGTGGGTGGTAGTGGTGGACCCCCATACCTATCCTGTGGGTGGTAGTGGTGGACCCCCATGCCCATCCTGTGGGTGGTAGTGGTGGACCCCCATACCTATCCTGTGGGTGGTAGTGGTGGACCCCCATACCTATCCTGTGGGTGGTAGTGGTGGACCCCCATACCTATCCTGTGGGTGGTAGTGGTGGACCCCCATCCCTATCCTGTGGGTGGTAGTGGTGGACCCCCATGCCCATCCTGTGGGTGGTAGTGGTGGACCCCCATACCTATCCTGTGGGTGGTAGTGGTGGACCCCCATGCCCATCCTGTGGGTGGTAGTGGTGGACCCCCATACCTATCCTGTGGGTGGTAGTGGTGGACCCCCATGCCCATCCTGTGGGTGGTAGTGGTGGACCCCCATGCCCATCCTGTGGGTGGTAGTGGTGGACCCCCATACCTATCCTGTGAGTGGTAGTGGTGGACCCCCATGCCCATCCTGTGGGTGGTAGTGGTGGACCCCCATACCTATCCTGTGAGTGGTAGTGGTGGACCCCCATACCTATCCTGTGGGTGGTAGTGGTGGACCCCCATACCTATCCTGTGAGTGGTAGTGGTGGACCCCCATACCTATCCTGTGAGTAGTAGTGGTGGACCCCCATGCCCATCCTGTGGGTGGTAGTGGTGGACCCCCATACCTATCCTGTGGGTGGTAGTGGTGGACCCCCATACCTATCCTGTGGGTGGTAGTGGTGGACCCCCATACCTATCCTGTGGGTGGTAGTGGTGGACCCCCATACCTATCCTGTGGGTGGTAGTGGTGGACCCCCATACCTATCCTGTGGGTGGTAGTGGTGGACCCCCATACCTATCCTGTGGGTGGTAGTGGTGGACCCCCATACCTATCCTGTGGGTGGTAGTGGTGGACCCCCATACCTATCC